AGGAATTTTCCTTTAAACTGGAAACTATCCAAAAATTGGAAAAGATTTTCTAGCCATGCGTGAACTAATAACAAAACTGATGCATAATGGCCGAGGAAGGTGTAGTGAGCAATAATGTGGAACATTTCATGCAACCTTTCTCGTTGGGAAGGGGAAAAATGGTGTCACATTTGAGACATTTCAGAATTTAAAGAAAAGCAGGTTTTAAAATTAGTCGTAATCGTACCAGAGATAAAAATCCAAACCCATAAAAAATCGCAGACGAGAGCAAGTAATTTTTCGTTTCTTTTTGTTTTGTTTATATAGTGATCAAGGATACATTTGTAAATTTAATGGAAAGCAATTTTAAAATACTCGTCACCTTTTTCTACTAGGAATGACAATCAAAAGTCCATAAAAGCTCGCAAACGAAAGTCATTATCTTTTTTATGTATTTTTTTTTAATTTTTTTGTTTTTTTTTGTTTGCTCTTTTTTACATTTTCCGAAACACTAAAGTGTTCTTTAGACTTGAAGGATTTTTAACAATGCACGTTATTCAAAAAGGTACGTCCTTAAAGTACATGTTCAAAAATTGTTATGATGTGTTTGAAACTTAACCAAGACTCGTGCATTATGTGTATATATAACCGCCGGCAATGACGCGCCTTTGGTTATCATTAATAATGTGGCTGGCTGTAGCAAAATCTTCCCACACAGAAGGCTAATTGGTACATTTCTCATAACAGGTTGCAGACACTGAATACTATTGATATCTGTTTTCTATGTCAAAACTTCATCTTGCCAAGGACATATAGTGTTCCAAGTTTTCACGTCAAGTTGAACGGAAAAGTGAATTCCTGTTTATGCAGTAGTACTGGGAGGGTGAAGTTGTGAAAAAGCCACGAATTGAAAGACTCGTGCATTATGTGTATATATAACCGCCGGCAATGATGCGCCTTTGGGTATCATTAATAATGTGGCTGGCTATAGCAAAATCTTCCCACACAGAAGGCTAATTGGTACATTTCTCATAACAGGTTGCAGACACTGAATACTATTGATATCTGTTTTCTATGTCAAAACTTCATCTTGCCAAGGACATATAGTGTTCCAAGTTTTCACGTCAAGTTGAACGGAAAAGTGAATTCCTGTTTATGCAGTAGTACTGGGAGGGTGAAGTTGTGGAAAAGCCACGAATTTGAAAGATCTCTCCGGAAAAATATCCACATATTGGAAAAGGTTTTTATAAAGAGTTTCAGCTAGCTTGAATTTAAAACGGAACTCTTGCAAAATGGCTGAGGGAGTTGCGATAAACCAGAATGTCTCGGTTGATACAGGGACCCAAACCAGTTCTGGATCAACATTGTTGTTAATCCGCTCGTACAGTGAAGCACGAAAACTCTTTGCTCTTTCTCTGTCTATCAATTTACTCCTCATTGTGTTGGCGTTAACTGTCAACGCGTTCATATGCTACATCATGATTCGTGGGAAACGGTACAAAAGAAACAGGTCCAATCTATTTATCACGCATTTGTCCATGGTGGAACTAGTATATCGCTTGCTTATCTTTCCCTTTCTTATTTACCTTGCTGTTCCATCATCAGGAATACAGAGTTTCCATTGTAAAGTTGTATCATTCTTTTTAAGAACTTCTGCATCAGCCATTTTCGTCAGTCTGGTTGCCATCGCTGCAGATCGATATCACAGCATTCTCCATCCACTCAAGAACTTAAAATCAAAACAAAAGCCCACTCTGCACATTTGTGCTGTTTGGGTGTATGCTGCAAGCGTGTCAATCCCAATTGTTGTCAGCGAGAGAGCTGTTCCGGTTGTAGAGATCCCCGAAGCTCGAGGTATGATTTGCGACGATTGTGCCAACAAGATGCTGTGTGATACTCCTCAAAACTCGCTGGGTCGATTTTCAGCTACGTTGTATTTTCTTCTGGGACTTGGTATTCCACTGGCCGTTATTATCTGGTTTTACACCAAAGTAGTCATCTTTCTGCATAGTAGAGGCAAGAATGGAATGATGCACAAAGTATACGCAAGGTCAAAGTCCAAAGCAGTACGAATGCTCATAATAACTGCATTTGGGTATGTGCTGTCTCTTGGTCCTTATGTTGTTGTGGCAATGCTGAGATCTTACGGACTATTCAACGAAACTCCATTTGGTATCATGCTTCTAATTAATGGGCTGGTCGATTTTGCCTCTTATACAAGTTCACTGGTAAACCCTTTGATTTATTCTTATTACAATGGAGATTTTCGAAAGGAAATCGTGCGGCTTTGTGGTAGAAGTAAAGGTAGAAAAGTATCCTATACGGTGTCATTTGATAATTCAAAAATGAATAATTAAACACATTTTATCCACATCGATGCAGTTGTGACTATCCTCAGCAGTAAAACACCAGAAAACACAGAGAGGAGCAACAGTAAATGGGACACATTTTTCGGTAGACGTTTTTAAAAGCCTCCTTTAACACTTGTCCTTGCAGAAAACGGAGCGTCTAAAATTCGGTGCTTTTTCAAAATGATACTCTTTGAAAACTAGTTTGGAAAGTCTTTGTGTTCATCGGCCATTCTTGGGCGTCCTACTGTAGGTTATGGGTAACAAGAAACTATGCAATTTTCGAACTAAAACCCCTTATAAGTGTGGATGTGCAACTTTTCATTAGCTCGTTTTAGCGTAAGTGTTTCTTTTATCTACCCTTAACGCAGTTATAAAAGAACTCATTTGGCGTCGATCAATTTGAAACTTCCACATCCACCCTGGGGTAAACCCCCGATATTTGAGCTATTAAGATTGATTCGTTCAAATTCTCGTTCCCTCCACTGGCCAAAATCGTGTTCAAATGCCCCACTTAAGCATAACTTTCTGTTCAAGGATTCTTTGAGTGATCAACGTATGTTATAGAATTAACAAAGTCGCGAATTAGTTTTTGGTGCTACTGTTGGTTTTTTTCGCTTATAGGCATCATTCTAAGATGTGAAAAGTTTCTTCCTAGCCATTCACTCACGAAAGCAGACTTTTTACCTTGAAACTTCCACTTCAAAAATTTTAAAAACACGGATTCCGCTCGACACACGGTTCAAATTCCCCATACTACCCAAGCGAGGTTCAAATTGCCTTCTTTCTAGATACAGACGACAGTCAAATGTCCATGGGTTGCTCGAGGGAGCCGATGATGGTTGTTGAAGTTTCGAATTGATCGGTCCATTCTCTGGCTAGAGCAGATCGAGTTTACTCATCCCGAACAACAGCAGTAGCTGACTGCGCAGACCAAAGATGCGTTGATAACCCAACCGTTATGAAAGAGATTTTACATTGGTACATTTTGTGAAAATCAGGATCGGGGAAAAGGAAATCTGGAACGAGAATCTAAGCTTCGAAAGTATAGCAGTGATCCGTATAACACTTCAAAATGGCGAATGACAAGGAAAAAGAGTCTGAGCACCAGACTCCCCGATTCCCAGTCTCTCGCTCCCCGTTCCTCTTTCCTTGTTCCCCGTTTGTCGTTCCCCGTTCGTCGTTTCTCGTTCCTCGTTCCTCGCTCCTCGTTCCTTATTCCCCATTCCCCCTCCCCACTCCTCTTTCTCTGGATCCTTTTCTTTCTTGAGAAAGACAGCAATGGTTGGCACAGTTTTATTAAACAGTTGGTTAGTTCTACATCGCAAGGGTTGAAAACATTGCCAATAAATTAAACATTGGCAGGACTTGGACCCTATGCCAGCCGTGGAATTAAAGGTTTCTAAATTTGTGAAGCTTTGCATGCGCTTTGCAACCGTCATGAGAACGAAGCAATGACAAGTTGGCCTAGGATTATTTAATTTCGGAAAACTTAGAACTTCATCGATGGCATCTATTTCAGATGCGCGTAAATAGTGTATTATTGATATTATTTCGCCAGAAGAGGGAAGCAGTTTTCATTGTAAGCTAAAACATTACGTGTGGTTCTCACCGTCGATTAAGGGCGTTCATTGGTTGGTCGATATCGCTAGTCAATTAAACCAATCTATCAAATCTTTATTTGTAAGGTTTAATTAACTTACACGAATTGTGTCATAGCAACTACTGATATGACTGTATAACCATAGAATTTTACAGGTAAATCTGATAGATTAGAGGTCTCCAAGTACGCTATGTCTTTCAAGTTTTAGATGTAATTGAAAATTGTTCAAAAACAT